TAGTATTGAGTGAAATTTGAGGTAAAAAAAATTGCCCTGGCAAGGCACTAACATTAGAGACAGAAAATCAAAGTGCACAATGTCTGGGCACATGAACAATGTAGTTTTACGCTAAATATCCTATGCTCAGCCTTGATCTCTATCTGCATCCTACTCCAAGGCCTTTTTGGTATGGGCCTGCTTAGGAGAAAATTTGTTAGGCAAATAAATTCGTGGATTTTTACCCTAAACATTTGAGCAAGTGAAACAAATGCTCGATTTCCACCCCTGTCAGAAGAAATTTCAATAGATCCATCACTCCTCCCAAGGTACCTCAGGGGACGGGACCGAGAACTATAAGATTCTCTGCAAACAACATTATCCATCTTCATCGCACGATCTATATGTACATGGGCGCTGCATCAACAGTGTAGTAAATTAAGCATGTGGATGCGGCAGGTGCCGGTGACGTTGGCAGCAGACGTATGCAGGGAATCGCTGTTAGTTTTATCTGCCGCCCTCAAGCGTCAGCTTAAGCACAGCCCATGTGGAAGTATGGTACCCATTTTTTACTTGTCGAACTTGTATTGTTGTCTAAAAGAGAACCAAACTAAGATACTTATTCGTGTCCGATATCGTGACTTTCCCAATGCCATATAACACGTGAGATTGTAATTTGTAGCCTAGAGTAGTAGGTGTGTGAATTTTTTATAGGTCTTGATAAAATTGTCTTAAAATTTTAGAAAATGGCAGGTTTGAGTCAGCAACAACAAATGCAGCTTTTGGCAGAGTTGGAAATTGAAATGATGGCTGATATGTATAACAGGTCAGTGGTTTTGTTCCTTCGGTTTTGAATTTAATATAACTTACACTCCGGGCTTAGCCCCATTGTCACTGACTGTGTGGCACAGACTCTCACTCCAGCTCCATAGTGGGGCTACTCCGGGCTCAGCTCCGTCATCAGCATCATCATGGTCATATCCTCACCGTGCCCGATATTATTTGATATAGCCAAGCCCCACAAATAGGGCTGTAGTGGCTCTCTTTTACAATCTGTCTCTTATCTGTCGCCACCACAGCCCTACTTCAACTTCAAGGCATGTCTCAAATGCCTGAAATCCAAACTGCAGGATTGTCACAAACTTTGAATCCTAATATCTTCCAAAATGAGAATGACTTGACAATTTACTTACACCATCGTATTTCTCAGAGTGTGGACTTTCATATGAGCACCCTAAACATGCTAAAGCTTTCCAGAATCATAAATTTTCCGATATATGGTGCCTTGAAAAACCTGGCCTGTACTATTAAATGCTGACTGAAAAACGAAGGCAGCGCTTCGTCTGTCCGATTTCAAGGCACCTGACAGGCGCTCTGTATGTGTTTTACCATACAAAACTGGTTCCTTGTCATACCTTGCGCAACAGACGAACAAGGAACCGGTGGAATTGAATTTGAATAATATTAATATGCATGTTCTGTATGGGCGTACTGTACACTAGCAAAGTGCGTGTGCAACTTATACTGAGCAATACTGTGATGACATGAATTATGCATCTACGGCACCTGTCGCGTGCCTTGACTTCCGACGCTCGAAGGCATACCATAATCATGTATTCATAGAGGGCCTGCGTGGAGCGCCCTCACAGAGGACAGGTCTTTGTTCCTGTGTGATATGCTTGAGTAGACACTACACTACTACATTGTCATCTTAATCTAAATAGCAAAACATGTCCTCTGTGAGGACGTTCCAGGCAGGGCCTCTATTATTAAAATTTGTTCCGACGCTGACAAATTGCGACAGATTCATTGCAAGTCTTCATTGCAAGTCTCAAAATCTCCTCAGTATTTTCTTACCAATTAAGCCTTTTTCACATTTCATGGGTGCGAGTTCAAAAGACTTAACAGAGGGGAACAAATTCATGACAACAACGTTACGTAACGTTACGTGAATGGATACTTGTGACTGTTATTGTTATAGACAATTTGTTCCCCTCTAGCTTTGTTCACTAACTTGTGCGGGGGCGCTAAAAATCAACATGGTGACTGAACTGGAAATTGGCCATTTCACACTGTGCTTTACTAAATTAATTGTTGTTAGCCTGATGTTATCAGCATTTTTTTCAACATTGTTGCTCTTTTCACGGTTACCCCTAGTAATAGGACTGAGGTTGTATAACGAAAAACGTGACACTGAGACATTCCGTATTTGTCTAAATGTGCCAGAAAATAATGTCTTTTTTTTTTTTTGGTAGGATGACCACTGCCTGCCAGAAGAAGTGTATAGCCCCATCCTATGGAGAGGGTGATCTTTCAAAGGGGGAGTCGGTCTGTTTAGATCGCTGCGTGGCCAAGTACTTGGAGGTGCACGACAACCTGGGGAAGAAACTGACCGAGAAATCCATGCAGGACCAGCAACTGCAGCTGATGCAGCAACAGCAACAAGCCGCCGAGAAGAAAAGCTAGTGGCGTCAGACGAGGAATCAAACGTTTTGTTCTAATTGTGAGGTACTTTTGTCTAGAATTTTATGACAGCTGGAGGTTTCTCAGCCAGCTGGGTACCACCGAAACTCTTTGGAGAGGAGTTGCTGAAAGAACTGCTTGATTTCCAGCCCTGCTTGGCTGGGTGAACAAATTTGCATTTCAGCAGCAGTGTGATTCACCGTACCATCGCAAGAGAGACCACCATTATATCCCTCATCTTGATTTTTTTTCTCCAGTTCGCACAAATCTTTTGAGTAGATGTTAACAAATACAATGGATCTGGCTTGCAGTACTTGAAGAGCTGGTGCCTATGTGGTGTTTCACAGTTCTTTTGAGTGTGATCTCAGGGACCTAGACCTGACCAAGATGGTAGCTGTTTGGCTTGATCAATATGTCTCCATTATTCAAAGTTTAACAATGGGAGTGTCACCAGGGTCGAGTGCAAGGCAATCTTGGAGACCCTGGAAGGTTTCAGTGGACCTCCATCCTTGTGACCAGAGAGAGTTCTGAAAGCCCAAGCAGTGCTGCATGCTGTAGTTAAGATGTCTCAAGATTATCACAAGACTAACACAAGACCAGCACAAGACCTCCAGTCTGAATTCAAGTCACAAGGTATTCAAATGAACCGCAACAAAAGCATTCCTTGGTCATTGTGCATTCTTTTGACTATGACTGGTCTTGTGTCTGGTCTTGTGACGGTCTTAACCACAACACTAACCTTTGCCTTCCTAAATCCTTCAAAAACCAGCAGCGAGATTGAGAAGGGTTTAACAAATGTGTGGCATTGGATTCTTGCAATGGAGGATGTAGTAAGCTTCACGGAGGTTTTTAGTTTGGCAAGGGAGTTAGGGTTGAGCCTAGCCACTGGCAGTATCCAATGCCTGGCTTTTCTTGATGTCAATTTTGTACACACTTCGGTAGATCACAGCTGTCATTACCGAAAACACTGTGCTTGATTTGATGTTCCAACTTCCCCCTCAAAAAATGTGCAACAGGGTTATTTGACAGGTTTGGATTTCTGTTTAGTTCTCTCACATTTACCAAGAGCAAAATACCATTTATGGAAGTTTTAAAGGAGCTCCTTTACACTAATTGGAAGTACTGGAACACAGGTGCCAATACTAAATTAGATTTTTAATTGTCAAATTACTGTTTAAAGCACGAAAGACTTAGTTACAATTAAACGCACATTCCCAACAACTCTGCCACTGGTTAACAACAAAAGGTTTAATTGCCTTTCAAGTGTATTGTTCTTTGATGTCTTTCCTTTCAGACCGAAATGACATACAGCACTGCTAGTTTTCATTTGCTTTGCAAATTCTTCCTGTCTGATTTGGACATCCGTTGCCTGGTCAGGGGCTACATTAGTGGTTCCAGTAGGTTCTTTGCTCACAGTATTAGCCTAAAGCCTGGTTTCCATATTGACGCAAGAAACGCAGAGAGCAACACAATCAAGACGCAAACTGAAATGTGGACATATGGAAACATGTCAGATGGAAGTATCGCCGATAACCCAGACACAACACAAACCAGCCCCGGACAGATCGGTAAAGTTGAGCCCGGTTCAACTTTGCCACCTGCCTGCATTGAGTCGCTGAGTAGGCCAATACAAATATACACGCTGGCACTGTCTTGCCAGCTTATTACCACTCATTTTGTCCATTTTCTCCTTCTTCCTAGCATATGCAGCCTTAGTCGTCAACAGAATAGCTGACTATAAACAAATTACATCAAACTGGAGTGTCACTTTGGCTTCAAGAGGCAACATTGCCACCTAAAAAAGGCATTTTTGTTGAAAATTGTCTGAGTTTCGGACTCCATTTTGTTTAAGTTTTTTGTCGGAATGACGTCGCGCAGCGTCTCTTTCGCGACTGTCTGCGTCTTGACACCTTGTGGACCGTCTGTGTTACAAACGACCATATGGAAACCAGTCTTAACATACATGCACATGCGTACAGAATCCATCTGAATGGTCACAAAGGAGTCAAATTATACAGAGGATAAACCACTTTGATGAACTTTAGCAAGGAGTGATTAGGTTTTGCACTGCATGCTTTCATTTATTTAGTCATATTTTGAAGTATGCTGAAAGTCTTTAAATCTTAAGTTTCCAATAAATTACCATTTAAGTTTTTTTACAATGATCTCTAATTGTTCAAGAAAAATTGCATATTTGCTCTCCAAGCAACTCACAAGTTCATTTCATTACACACAACTATATGTCCGTTTCATAAATAGACAAGTTTTTAAGTGCATCGCCACGCTCTAATAAAATTACAAGTACGTACTTACAGCCACTTCTGAAAATCACATATGCTGTCCATAGCAAATTTACAGTGATTCATTTGAATTATTTTTTGCACACAACTGCAAAGCCTTAATGAACTGTCAAGACAAATTCTGTAACAACCTGGGTGTTAAAA